AGATATCAAAAAGTACTCCAGAGTGTTGTTCAGCATGGGGGTGAGTAGAAAATGAAGGCTAATCATGTTTTGGGTGTACTATTCCTTTAATCCCGAAAATACTGTTTACACTAAGCTTTCAACTTCTTTGCTCACCATCATTTCAATCTAAAAAACTCACACAAAGAGAAAAGACAATTAGGAGAAATTTATTGATACGCTTAATTTTGATAGATATGCATGAACAGGAGCAAAGATAGGGCTGTTTTCCCCAGGCCTAAAACTGGTGGTGGAGTGGAGATAGATGAAGTTGGTCGGTCTGTAGACTGCTGGTTAGCGAGACGGTCTGTTGAGCTTTATGGGGAGATCCAGTGGATTGCGTCAGCTGATACTAGAGCTTCACTCAGGGACCTGGAAGATGGAAGTCCAGTTGGATAACACAGGTTGAGAGAACCTGTCCATGATGAGCAAGCATGAAGCGACAGTGGAGAGGAAAAACTCCCTTTTGGGAAGAAACCTTTGGCAGAACCAGGCTCAACATGGCGGTCTTCTGCCGGACCAGTTGAGATGAGACAGGGAACGCAGTAAGAGTCCGGGAGGAATGAGGTGGGTTGAAATGGGGTCATCTGAATGAAGTCACACAGCGCAACCACCGCCTGCGCACAGGAGCAGACAAGTGCGGATCTGAGGCCATTTAGGATGAACTTTTCATGCCGATTGGCTTTCTTGGAGGTGTGGTTCAAAACTGATTGACTGTGTCGCAGGTGGATGTAGGAGAGCAATCAGTTTTTAAACTTCCGCCTACGCCTTTTACATATTTATACTAATCAAACCCAACTTAGGTTATTCTATAATAAACTTCTTTTCAATAGTGTTAATGATTTATGAATTATTTATTAAACTTATTAAAGCACCTAAATTAAAACTTTCACTTTTTTTTTTGGCATGAGGATCTGCATAAAATTAGTGGGGGGAAAAAACAAACATATTTTAAAGACTAGTCAAACTTGAATGGAAAATAAAACACAAACGTATTTGCATGAAGATAAATAACAAAATTGTCAGTAAATGTGTGAATTTGTTAAATTCCTTTGAATCAAATATTTAGTATCATGCTGTCTTGGTGTTTTTAAACTACTATTCATCAGTAATACGAGGTTGCTTTTCAGATACAAGAGCTGAACATTTCTCATTAGATCCACAATAACTGCAAAGGTGGACATATTTAAATGTTAAGACACTTAGCTCGTCATGGTATAATGGAAAGTGAGATTAATTAACGGAATGTGCCGGCGGCAGTCTTGATCTGAACTAAATTAAACCTTTAGGACACTGAAAAAAGGGGAACAATTGGGCTCTATACTAATAATGATCGCTTAAATAACATGACAAAAAAAATAAAAAATAGCTGAGCAAGCATATGGGTTTTTACTAGTGAGGTGTGGGCAGGTCTAAGCTGCAGTAAATCTAATGGTAACAAGAGGTGTGCCATACTAATGTTTAAAAAGGACAAAAAGGATCAAATATGCATTTGCATTTCCATAACCTTACATTTTCTTCACTAAATCTATAAAAGTGCCAATAGATAGAAAACATTCACTATTTCTTGGTTGCAAAGGTTACTTGTAATCTTTTTTATCATGATCATCATCCTCCATCATCATCATTAGTTTCCTAAAGCCGTGATTCAAGGTTTTGGTGATATATGCTGTGCTTGCGATTGTGTGCTTAGTAAATTTAGGCTTACATGTAGAACCCAAGGCAGAAGCGCTGATGCCGTCTTGTCCATCACTGTACACTGGCGTCACCGTCACTTTGTACTGTCTGTCTGGTAGTAAAGGCTGGAGCACTGTGTTTTTCTGACCACCCCCAACTGAGATCTATTACAGACAAAAGACAAGAAGATAAAGGAGATCTATATTGTAAACCAACTCATTTTGACCCTAACATGCAAATAGTTTTACTCTTAAGTTGCATTATTGAAGCTAAGACCACTCAATTCCAACCTCAAAATAAAAGTTGGCTTAGCACAGGAACATATTTTCTTTCATTTCCATGTTTTTTTAATAACAACAACAAAAAAATAACGTGCTAAAAACTTTTTTCTCAAACCAAAAAAACAGGGTCAGTACTATGTTAAAAAAAATACAAATACTCCATGCTATTGTACTATGGCATATACCCTGTTTAAAACGCTGTCTGCAAATACCCCCTACAGCACTACTAGTATGCAAATGCAGATCAAAAGCTAATGAGAACTGTGCGACTGTTCACAAGCACTGCTTGTTGTATTAACAACATAAATATATAAGCCTGGGGATATTGTGACTTCATGAAGGGTTACTCTGATAAACTCTTCTATTTATGTTGGGTTTTGATAAAATTACAGTATCAGACAACATGAGATACCATTTCACTGATTTATCTTTTTAACTTTATAGATGTCACATATTAAACAGACTTTCTGTACCTTTAATGGAGGGGCTAATCGGCTTAGTTATGACTCCAAATAACTTCACTCTCAATAGATGATACACATTTTTGGCTCTTTCTCTTTAAACCCTGTTTCTCCATTATAGGGAGAGCATAGAAGGAACAATTGCAGCTACTCACTATGGTTTTTTTTCATTGCAAAGATTTTTCTGCTGGTTCTTACAGGCAGTGTGTTTAGCTCTGTACCTCTCCTACATAAAGCTAAAATGAGCTACTGTTTCTATTACACTTTGTATTTAACATAGGAAGAACTCTAGGCTCTGCTCTATGTTTTGTGTGTGCACTTTGTCTTCTTAAACTCCCAGTCATTATGTCAGAAGGCTCCTCGCAGTGAGTCATGTTCTGCCTGAGGTTTTGTCTTGTATTTTCTAATGTCTCCATATGAATGCTCATATGCAAGCCGGATATTGCTGCAAAGTTGACAACTCATGGAATAAAGGATTGCAGCAGTTTCTGGTTTAGATAAAAATTATATTATATTTATTCGATTAAGCTGTAATTGTATTGGTTTCTAAATAGGATTACATTTACTCTGAATCAAACTTTATGACGGGGTAAAGGCAACTACATACATTTTTGGAATTAAATCAGTTATTCAGTCATATAAGCAAAATAAATACTACTAAATTAGATTGGCTATCTTTTTATATGTTTAGGCTTTAAGCAAATTCAGAGCAAAACAGGGAGGATCAAGCATTTTCTCCACCCAGTGCTGGTTCAGCACTGGAACCTTTGGCAAAAAAAATCTCAAGTAAATCTCAAATTTACTTAAAGTGGTGTGGTAAAGTCTTCAGCAGAGGTTCCTGCCTAGACGTCCCTGCAGATCCTTCGTTTTTAATAATCACTTTTTATAAATCAGTCTTTCTATTTGCCTTGAATTCTGGTCCTCTGTTCTGAGCCATGACACTTAACCTTTTACTGAGTGCTCATAAAGCAAACGTAGCAAGAACTGCAGACTTGATTTTTATTGCAAAGTTTTAACTCGTATTTTATTTTCCCAAGGAAATTAGTCCTTTGAGTTTAACCTCTTAAAACCCACCGGGTCGCTGGCGACCCAGTGGACCGTAAGTGGGGGTAATAATTCAGAATGCATAAAATTCCACAGTAAAATATTTACCAGCAGGGAAGCCATTGCGCGCAGCTCCAAGCTGACACCAAAAGTTCCAAACCCCACAGCTCTGGAACTGTTCATAGCTAGAGGTCTGAAATTTTCTGTATTGATGGTTGAGATGATGTAGAATAAATATAATACAATAAAACCTGCCTTTTCTCAAGAATGTCTTTATTGCTGCTGTTCAAAAAAGACCTATCATTTTCAATATAAAAAAAACAACTTTGTGTCATGTTTGAACTGATGCAGGTTGGTCTGTGTTCTAGTCACCGAATTTTAATTTATATATTAGGAAACTAGAGGGTGTTAGGGTTAGGGTTAGGGTTAGCTTTCAAATAATGTATTGCACATGTAATTTGGGCTTACAGTTCCTAAATTATTTGGTTTTCCATTTGGGTATTCAAAATAGGCAAGGATTACCCAAAATGAGGTGGATGTGAAGAGGTTAAGATGTTCTGATAGAGGGAACAAAAGCTTCCAGAAGTGGGTATTTACAGGGATATATTCCTTGTGGGTATTTACAGGGATATATTCCTTGCCAGTAGGTTAGCAAGTCTCCCATAGCCATACTTGCCAAAAATGTATTCATTTATTCAGAAAATTTGCAGTAAAAACTATGATTCTTATTGCTAATCATACCATAATTTCAGATTGCACCAGGCTAAGGCTGTGGAAGTTCAATCAAGGATTATGTTTGTAGTCACAATAAATATCTTGAATTTTTTTCAGATTTAATTTTGAAAATTGCCTTGTCTGGATTTTATTACAAAATTTTAAAAATATATCTTGATAGTCTGTGCTAAAACGAGCAAACTTGTTAAGAGCTGATACCTGATGGAACCGGTATTTATCATTTCATAGACAGATTTAAAAATTTCGTCTCATTTTGTTTCACCCTCCGTGTTTTATACTTCCAATTTTTTATTCCTTTCTTAGCTGCCCTCCATCTGTGCTCCCACTGAGGTAAATGGCTGCAGAAAAGATAATGGGATGTCTTCTGGCTTGGCCTGGCCTCTCCATCTTCTACAACTCTGACACCACATCGGGAAATTAAAAGGAAGAAAGGAGGTGGAGGGTGAGGAGCTAGGAGGGAGAGAATCACAAAACAACATGGAGGCAGGGGGACAGAGGGGGAGGAAGGCCTGTGAGGATGTGTTTGGCCGTGCATTAGTGATCAGGGTCAGTACATGGCACTGAGCTCAAGGGCTCTTCAGGAGGACAGGGGGTTCAAGAGGAGAGGCTGAGTGGACTGCAGCTAGAAGTGTAATCAGTTTTCTGGCTACACTGCATGACCCGGCAGTGATGACTGCAGTGCAATCCAGGAGGCTGGAGGTTTGGAATAACAAAGTTATTCCTCTAGACACTTCTTCAGCATTTTGTGCTTCACATGCTCAGTGTTCAAAATTGTCCTTTTCTCTGTATGCTTCATAAGCATCGGGATCAGTATGATAACGCCCTAAAGGACCAAAGATTCACTTATTTGGAAATAGATTTTACAAAGATTGGAAATTATGTAAAACATGAACACATGGATTGACCTCAGCAAATGCTCTTTCAGACCAGAATTTGATCTTTATAACTCTTTGTGACAGTAACAGCTCAACACTTGATTGACTTACAGATTCCTCCCCTTGGTCCCCGCTGAGGTCAGAGTAGGAAATCCTGTAGCTCTCCACATTAGGGTCCTCCAGCTCCCAGGATGCGTCTAAGCTTTGGGTGGTCTCATCACTCAGGTAAAGGTTTTTCACAGCCTTACGTGTCACTGTGATATTACAGACAAATACCCTGCTTTTACACATGTAAAGCAGAATGCAAGTGCAAAATAAAATTATAAAACATTGCTTAACATTTTAAAATACATAATAATAAACACATAACATAAGGTTACTTTTTAATAAGTCATGCTTCATGCAAAACGCTCCAATGCTGATAATAGTAATGTGGACCTCCATAATGGTGCAAAACATTTGCTGATTTAAGAGTGTAATTAATGAGTGCAGTCATTTCCAGTATCTTAAGGAATTGCTGATTTTTGCAGTCTTCCAGCCAAAACAACATTCATCATTTGCAAAAAAGTGACAGTCTGCCAAAAGCTGGTCAGAAGTCCCTACTATCTTCAGTAACAACTGCATGTCTCCCAGGAAAAAGTAAACCATTGTTTGTAGCCTATGTGTAAGCTATAAATTACCCTACATTTACAAAATAGATAATTCCTAACCCTAATTAAACATTGTTTCCTAGCACAACATCGGCATTTTCTTTTTTAAAGGGAGAGAAACCTCTACTAAACTATCAAAATTATATTGTTCTATTTGCAAAATTTTCATCTACACCCATAAAGCTTATCAATTTTTGGAACAACTTAGCTATCACTGTTAAATAAAACAAAAGTTGTATATTTTGTTTTAAATTTAGATACCTTAATAGCTATAATGGATACCATCATACCATACAAACCATCACTCCCCTCTTGTTAACCCTCCCCATCCTCATTTCCTATTTTCAGTCAATTGTCATTTAAGACTCTGTCTTTGAACTTTGAAAGCCAAGGACGTTCTCAGTTTTCATGTAAACTGCAAAAAAATCTTTTTCATTCCTTCACCACCTTCACTCCTCTTGCCTCCCTAGGTGGAGTAAGGTACTAATAGTCTTTCTTCACGGTCTCCAAACATCTCCTGGACCCAAGTTTTTGCATCTGCAACTGCCCAGGCAGTGGCACACATGACATGTTTAGTGTTGGCATTTTACCTAAATATGTAAAACAAAATGTTTTTAAGGGAAAGTTTTTGTAGTATTCAAGATGCTACATTCTTAACTCACAGTTTCTGTGTCACTTAACGCCTTTTTGGAAGGGTCAGGTACTTGCAATTTGCAGTCATTCCAGTTAACAAAGAACTAATAATAGTTTAAACTAAGAAAGAAGAAGAAGAAAAAAAAACATGCAGTCACTTGCTGGTTTACTAGTCAGAACACAGAAACTATTTTCTAAAATAGATCTGTTCTTTCTTTCATTTTATTTATTTCTTTAACAGCAAAAGTGATTCTCATCATTAGTCGAACCTCATCCACCCTATTCTGATTGGCTGAAAGGGTGCATCTATCATAGTAATTTTGATTTATTATCTGGCCTTTTTTTCTATTTTCTAACACAGGGCCATATCCCTTGAGCTCAAAGGAAAGATATGACAGTCCTAAAGTTATTCCACTAAATAATGAATAATATAAATACATATAACTGCACAAGTGTAGAGCTCTATTTGGAGATTGTGTTGTACTTTGTAAACATTAACTTGTACTGGTAGCTATTTTTCATTTGAAGGACACTAGACCTGGGCTACTTTGGTCCAAGTCATGATTAAAACTGGCCAGCCCTTCAGCAAGGATAGTTTCTCCAAGTGAGATTTACCTGCTGCCCACTGAACACCTGCTGACTGAATTGATGAAAAGAAAAGCTTATAAAGTGATATATAGCTAAACTATGAAAAAATATGTTACATTGGGTTATCTTATTTTATTTTCAGCTGCTTACTGTCAATACACTGTCACAAGTACAGAGCACAAAATGTACTTTCTGCATCTAACCCATCCCTTTGGGGAGCAGTGGGCTGCCATTGTGCAGCGCCCAGGGAGCAGTGTTGGGTTAAGGGTATTTGCCCAGAACCTTTGGACTCCAAGCGCAATGCGCTAAACTAGGCTGTCACTCCTTCAGCATGCCCAACATTTATTGAAAAAGCTCCCACTCCAGATATTTTACACCAATACACAAATCTTTCTTTCATACTCCTACCTGTGGTTGTGGGTTGAATCGTTGTAGTTGCAGCCACTGGAGAATTAGAGAGTAGAAATCAGACAATGCATTACTGAGTCTGCTAAACAAAGTTCTGTGCCAATTACTTAGTCAATGAGAGAGGAACCTGTAAGATATCATTGTCAGTTAAACTAGATTTCCTTCTAACAAAACACAAAATTAACATAGAACTCTTAATGTATAACAGCCGGTGATAGGAGTAACGGCGTTACCTTAATCCGTAATGAGTAATCTTACTAATTACTTTGACTGTAACTATAACGCAGTTACCATTGCTGACACCCCGTTAATGCAGGTTACTCAGGTCGCACAATTAACCTTTTTTCATGATAGGACTCGTGCGCGCCTTGTCATGAGAGAGGGGAAGATGAGATTGGCTGATGTATAGTGAGATTACATCTTCAGTTGGGTAGGTGGGTGTTTCCACTGGCAGGTGTTAACGTACAGCACACAGAGAGATGGTGAGTGAGGAGGACTCCAGCAGCAAAACAGCGTTTTCCAGATGGAAATACCGGTGTTACGTGGAGCTGCGTTTCCCCATCTGATACGGTTTCCCCTGTATCTCCGCACAGCGTAGGCAGCACAATTCACCGCGCAAGCGACAGGAAACGTGCATGCTCGCTAACAGCCGCCCTGTGCTCGTGCCACAGG